TTAAAAGATTTTAGGGTTACTTCTTCAGAGGGGGTAGTGTTGGACGGGAGGGAGTGGGCATGTATTTGATCAAAACACATTATATACAGGTATGATATTCTCAAAGTTTTTGTAAAAGTTAAAAAAAAACTTTAAAAATTTAACCATTTTATTGTTTCATTTATTGGACTGATTATTGGATAGTTGTATTGAATAATAAGGTGTCTAAGAAATGACACAGAAATAAGATTCCATGGAGAGAATAAAAGTATACTGAGATTTGAGGATCTAGAAATTATTTCAATCATAAAAGTCAATTTTCTAAAGGAGGTAGCATTTCGATCTTGGAAGCCTTGCAAGATAATAGATTTTGATAAGCAGTGGCAGGTGTAATGGGGGCGGTGATGGCAGAATCTTTGCCTAAAGAATTAGGATACATGGACAAAGGCAGCTGAGACAAGGTATTTTGTTCTAAATTGTAGAGCCTTTGTTAGATAAGTAAAAGAATGCATTAATTACAAGAATAATGAACTTATGCTTCCCCTATAGTCTTCTATGCAAAGCTCTCCAGTGAGTTTTTATGAGATTTGGCATTGGAATATGAAGTCAATCTGATCCAGATGTGGATCATTTCTCTGATTGCCAGGCTGGTCTTCTCATTCTTAAATGTGTCAAATATTTTGCCACTTCAAGGTTTTTGCATTTTCTGTCAACTCTGCCTGGCTCATTCTCAGATTTTCTCTTGGCTTTGTCTCTGTTTAATTTTTCCATGGTTCAGGTTTGTGCACTTAATGAAATCTTCCCAGATAGACAGTCAAAAACATTCACCATTAATCATTACAGTGCATATTTTCACTATGTTTAAATTTTTGTTACTTCTATCATTATCTGGCAGTATCTTCATACTTAGTTATGTGTTGTTTGGGGTTTGGAATTGTTGGTAGGATGTTTACTGAGTTCACAGAATTATCTCCAAAGCCAAGAACGATGAATGACAATAAATGATTGACAATAAATATTAGATGGTCAAATATAAATATCAATGCTATTTATTGAAATTTCCATATCAGAGTTTATTTGATAAAAAACTATAAAAATAATATTAATGATATAAGTTATCTCCCCATAGGTAGAAAAGTTCTTGATGTATAATAGATATTCAATGTTTGATAACTGAATACATATTCTAATTTTTCATTCATGTCATAGCTGATGTCATAAAATAAAATGATGTTTATGAAATGAAAAAAAAAGAGAGTTAGCTCTATAAATCCATAAGTCCCAGTTAGCATCACCCACTCTTGGGATCATTGAGATTCACATGCAGTACTTCTCCCAGTGATCATAGTGCAGAACGTTAGTGTAGTGTCGCAGCTCTTGGACTATTAGAGTCATTCAGAAAGCCCTTGCCTCTATCTGTCAAGATACTGAACATCGCTCTTACACTCTCGTAATCATACCTTCTCTCCTGTACCCCCAGTCCTCCCTAGCTCTTGACAACTACTGATTGTTCATTTCTATAGTTAATGCCATTTTAGGAATGTTATATAAAGAAATATAGCTTGTAATCACCTCACCTGTTCCATGTATCAATACTTTGTTCATTTTACTCCTCAGTAGTACTCTACAGCATGGGTGTACCACAGTTTGTTGAGCTGTTCATTCATTGATGGATATCTGGGTGATTTCTAGTTTGGAGATATTACAAATAAAGCTGCTGGCTATAAACATCCTGTGTAGGGCTTTATGTATACCTAAGTTTTCATTTGTGGGGCTACATGGACTTTCATTTGCTGAGCTACATGGTAGTTACATGCTTAGGTCTTAACTCTGCTGAATTCAGTAGAAGTTGAAATCTGTGTAGAAGTTGAAATCTGTGTAGGTTTTTGGTTTTACTGGGCTGTCTGGAGTCTTTCCCATAGGTATGGTTTGGGGACCAGTCATATTAGAGCCAGGCTTTTTAGGCTTGAGGACTCACCTCTTTGGTTGTCTCTTTTCAAGGATTCCTAGACTGACTTTCCAGTTTCTGATTTTGCCCCAAATTCAGTTTTCTGGTTGTTTGTGTCAGCAGGGCAAAATTCAGCCTCTCAAAGTGATTCCAACTAGCCTGCCTTTGGGAATAAAGCCAAGGAAACAATTACCCAGAACAGTTCATTCTCTAGATTTCTGCTTTTCATCTCTGACTAGAATTTTCACACAGAGGCTTTAAAATATTTTATCCAGAGTTTAGAATTTTCTACAGAAAGGTTAACCCAACAGGCTAGACCCTGCCACTTTTTATAATGGACTTGTCATGCATTCTTTTGAATTTCACACAAGCAGTAGCATACCAGTCTTTATCTTACTTTTTTTTTTTTACCTAATATGTAATAGAGATTTTTTCCTCTTGCAAAGTATGCAATGATGACCTGTTTTTATAGTTGCATAATTACTGTGTGGACATCCTTGAACAAGTATCACTCGTGATGGACATTTAGTATGTTTCTGTTTTTTGCTATTTAAATATTGCTGCATTATGCATCCTTGAGCATAAGGCATTTTACATATTTGAAGCATTTTTGGATTAATTCCTAGAAGTAGAATTGTCAGACTGCCCTGTATAGAGGTTGCTGTGACTTATACTTCCAACAACATTGGTGCAAGTACCATTTTCTCCCTCTATTCATCAACTAATTAAGTTTTTAAATTTTTGTCCATCTGCTTATTTTTATAAATGATTTTATTTTAGCTTTAATTTGCATTTGAGTCTAGTTAAGCATTTTTAAGCATGTTTAAAAGTCATTTCCATTTTTTTCTATGTTCTTTGCCTTTTTTCTGGAATTTCAGGGGTGTGTGTGTATGTGTGTGTGTACGCACACATGTGTGTGTTGGAGTCCTGTAGAGAAAGTCCTTGTACATGTCAATATCTTGAAGTGTTTTCTCTTGATAATTTAATAGTTTCTGATCATCTGCTGCGGTCTTTGATCCATTTTGAAGAGTCAGTTAACCTTTACTTATTATAACCCATGTTGAACACTTTTGTTCTTTGTCATATGTAGCTGCATTCCTTCAATTTTCCTTTATTCTGACTTGGTTTAGAAGCCCTTAATCTTGTGTAAATCTTTTTATTTTTATTTAGTCAAATTCATTTTGTTATACATTTGAATTATGAATCATCTATAGAAACTCTTCCCCAAGAGTAAAATTTTCTCATGTATTGCCTTCTGTAGTACTGTGTGTTGATTAAATTTTTTATCAAACTAAGATTTATCTTGAGAGAAAACATAAAAACAATATAATCTTTCTTATTTTGGCAGATGGCCTTTATGTACTTTTTACTCTTAGTATGTAAAAATATTTTAGATATTTGAAATTAACACTTATTGATATCATACTTCATAGTTTCTGCCTCTAGTGTTGTGTTTAGTTTTTCTCTGTCCTCCAAATGTTGTAAACACACACACACATATGTACTTTTTTTGCTATTTAAAAATTTTTCTTTTTCTATGTTCAAATTTATTTTTATATCCTTAAATCTTAAATTAACCTAACAGGCATTTTCATTTACAATGAATTTGCGTCACACTTATTTTTTATTCCATTAATTAACTGGTTCTACTATTGAGGGAATCATTTTCTTAAGCATTTAAGATGCTGTCTTTACATCTTCAAGTTCTTATAGATGAGCTCTTTCTTTCTCTCTTGTCTCACTGATGCTCAATTCATGTGTCAGTAGCACACTGTCAGTCATTTGAAAAATAAAGTAGTACAGAAAGCTTACTGTAAAAGACACTAAGATGTGCTATGAATCTAAAATAGTTTTGATTTTATTTCATTTATTCTAATGCTTTAAAGTCATATTGTAAAAATGGTTTTTTTTAATGTTTAAATTGCTGTGGGCGGAAATCAGCATTTTACCTTTAACAGTTTCATCTGGGAACATAGTACATCTTTCTGTTTGCTATTTTCTTTGTTTTGTGGCTCTGGGAACTGAATATAAGGCCCCATGTTTGCTGTGCTCTGCACAGATCCACAGCCTAGTGTGACTTTCTGTTAATGTGCTGTATATCTCAGTTGATTTTATTTTTTTAATTTTTTTATTTTTTTGGTCTTTTTGAGACAGGGTCTCCCTGTAGCCCCAGCTGTCCTGGAACTCACTGTGGAGACCAGGCTGGCCTTGAACTCACAGAGATCCACCTGCCTCTGCCTCCCGAGTGCTGGGATTAAAGGCGTGCACCACCCCGCCCAGCTTATTTTTTTAATTTTATGTGTATGAGTGCTTTTTGTTTTTTAAAATATTTTATTTATTATTTTTATTTTATGTGTATGCATGTATTGCCTACATGTAGGTAAGTGCGCCTGTGTCGTGCAATGCCCATGGAGGATAGAAGAGACTGTCAGATCCCCTGGAACAGGAGTTATGGACAGTTGTTAGTTGCCATGTGGGTGCTGAGATTCGAACCTGGGTCTTCTGCAAGAACAGTCAGTTTTCTTAACTACTGCACTATCTCTCCAGCCCCCTATGTGTATTAGTGTTTTGCTTGCATGTATTTAAGTGTACCATGTGCAAACAGTGTCTGTGGAGACCAGAAGAGGGTATTGGATCCTCTAGAACTGTATGGGCAGTTGTTAGCCATTATGCAGGTACTGGGAACCAAACCGAGGTCCTCTGCAGAAGCAGCCAGTGCTCTTAACTGCTGGGCCATCTCTCCAGCCCCTTGTTTATTTCTTAAAACAGGATCTCATGTACCCCAGGCTGTCCTCAAACTTGGTATGTAGCTGAGGATGATCTTGAATTACTACTGTTGATCTTGCCTCCACAGCTAGGATTACATATTTGTGCCACCACACCCAGCAGTAGTAGACATTTTTAAGTCATTTTGAACATTTTTAATTATGTAGAGTAATTGTTTTCAGGACTGACCTTAATCTAAATGTCCCCTTACATCTAACACATTTCAAATGAATCTAGTAAGCCTCATAGTTTAAAATGTGTCACAGAAACATTCGCTTCTGCTTATTTAACTATCATTTCTTCACAGTGTAGAGGTTCAGACAAGGCAACTATTAAAGAAGAAAAAGAAAATACTTACGAAATTTGCAAAAGGTCTGTAATATAATTTCTGATATAATTTAAAATAGTCACTTATCTGATTTGTATTCTAACATTTTCATTCTGTGCATGTCTAGTTGGCTAGTATGCAATAAGCTATATATACATGGATATGGTTTAGTTAATGTAGCAGTTGTTCCCAGACGTAAAGGGTGATGTAAGTTACTTTAAAGGTGGCATTAAGTTGGTCCCCCCCCTTTTTTTGTATGTAGGTATGCATGTATATATGCATGTTTGCATGTGTGGGGTACACATGTGTAGTGGGGTGCATGTACGTGTGTGTGGAGACCAGAAGTTGATGTTGGATGTCTTCCTGGATCATTCTCCACCTTACATACTGAAGTAGGGTCTCACTTGAGCTCTGAGGTCTCTGATAAGGTTTATCTGGCTACCCAGCTTGCTCTGGGGATCCCCTGCCTCTGCCTTCCCACACAAATTTATATATTTGCCCTAGCATTTATGCATTTATATAGGTGCTGGGGATCTAAACTCCAGTCCTCACACTTGCACAGCTAGTGCTCTGCCCACTGAACCATCTCCCCAGTCCTCTTGCAGTAAACTTTTAAGCCATTAAAAAACAGTGATAGGTGCTAGAGAGATGATTCAGTGGTTGCTGCTCTTTCTGGGGACCTGAATTTGGTTCCCAGCACCCAAGGCAGGCAGTTCACAACAGCCTGTAACTCCAGCTCCAGGAGAGCTAACACCCTCTTCTGGCCTTCACAGGCACTGCACTCGGGCACACATATCCACATACTGGCACAGACACACACATACAAAAACATACAATTAAAATTAAAATAAATCTTTTTTTAAAGTAGTGATAAATTCAATAGAATTGGGTGTGTGTAACTTTTATGAAGATCAGAGTGGTTGGAATCAAATGAACTACATCTTGCAAGTGTTCATGTGGATACAGTGATTAGTACTAAGGCAGTGTACTCACTAGAACTTATAAAACTTCCCAATTTAGTTGTAGAAGACACCTTTAGAGGTCATCTGAGCCTGCCCTCATTTGGCTGTTGTGGCAAGGCACTCTCAGGTTAGAAGGTGTGTTCAAACCCATGTATGTTCGGGCCACAGTTTCATGTGTGGATCCTCAGAGCAGCAGCAGCCATGAGAACTTGTCAGAAAGTAGTTACAGGATCCCCAGGCCTGCTGAGCTAGAAACTCTGAGGATTAGGACTCATCGGTCTGTGTTCAACAAGAAGTCATCCTAGTGCAAGTCCAAGTTTGAGAATATCTGCATTAAGGGACAGGCCAGGTAAGAATTAGATTCACATGGAAGTTCAGTGTGGTTCATGACCACTGGAGATCCTAACAAAAACAAAAATGAAAGCTAACTTTTCTTAGTAAAACATTTTCCTAATAAACTAAAATAGTGTCATTGCAATGAAAGAAGTTTATAATCAGCTGGGTTCCCCTCCAGCAATCATCAGCAGAACACTGGTCAAGTCACTACTTCATATGTGTTCCAGCCATCCAGTCAAAAGTAATGAAATCTTCCCTTCCAGACATAAAGTATTCATATCTTTATGAAGCTGATTTTGTTCTCTTTTGTTAGAGGAGAGTGTTGAATACATATATCAGTGATATCCCAAGTTAGGGAGGCAAGCATGAATATCTTTTTTTGAAATTTTAAAACTTCATTAATGCTACTAAATTTCAGATGTTAATAAGCTCTTCTTTTTACTGTTTTTACTCTTCTGTTCCCCCCCCTAAAAAAACCTGAAAAGATCTGATCTTACAGTTGTTTTTAAGGTCAAAATATTATCATATCTGAGTATTGGTGCCTTTCTCTGAAAAAAAGTAAATTTATTTAAGCATACAAGACATCCTTACTTATTTTTGTACTTAAGTAACCCCCAGATTAATTTTTTGGTAAAAGTCATTATATACATAGGATATTACATATTAAGATACAGATAAAGGGGCTGGAGAGATGACTCCACAAAGAGGACTGATTGCTCTTGCAGAGGATCTGGGTTTGGTTCTCAGCACCCATATTGGGCAGCTAACAACTGCTTATAACTCCAGTTCCAGGGGAATCTGACACCTCTTCTGGCCTCTAAGGGCATTGCATACCACAGGTGTACCTACCTACATGCAGGCAAACCCTCATACACATAAAAATAACTGAATTTTTTTTAAGTTTTAAAAAGCTGTAAAGTTGTTTATATCAACAGCTGATACCATTTTAGAGGCTTCTCTCCAGGGGAAACTCTGAGATGTGTAGAAATTCATTATATATACTTATTCTGAAAAATAATTTATATAATATTCTTTATCCATAGGGGATATAGTTCAAGACCCTGTGGATACCTGAAACCGCATATACTACCAAACCCTATGGCATAATGTGCTTTTTCCTATTCATATGTTCTATAATAGGGACAATAAAAGGTTAACAATAATAGAATAATAAAATTTATGTGAATGAGGACAGATGATGGACTGTTCCCACATGTCTCATGATGACATGAGATGACAGAATGAAATGAATGACAGTGCCCACAATGATGTAATGTTAGACTGTTATGTAAGGGTCACTGGATATAGACAGTGTAATACCATGACAGCTGATCTAGCACCAAGGTGACTAAGTGATTATCCTGTGGATGAACATTGCTGGAAAGGAGCTAATTCACATCCTACAGAGGATGAAGCAGAATGGCCAGATTGCATCATGCTCTGCAGAGCAGCATGCAATTTAAAATGTATGCATTATTCTTGGTGTTTTTCATTTAATATTTTTGTACCATGGTTGACTCTGGGTAACTGAAGCCATGAACCTGGGTAAAGGAGGTCTGCTGTAATGCACTTCCTTCACCCCACCGTGAAGAGCATATATGGCTGCCTTTTCTGGATTAGAATACTTGCTTAGTTCCTCCCTGAATCTTTTATCAGGTATGATCACAAATATTTTCAGCCAAGCTGGGTAGAGTATGCCTATAGTCCCCACTACTTAAGAAGCTGAGGTAGGAGGATAGCCTGAACCCAGGAATTGAAATGAAGGTCAGCATTTCAAGGGCAACATAGTGATTCTCCATCTCAAAAAAGGCTATTTTTTTAAATTATCTATTATTTTATATTTCTTTAACTGTAGGGTTTTTGTGTATATTTTGGGGGGTTGGTTTTGGGTTTGGTCTTCCTTATGGTCCACATTGTCCTCAAACTCATGATCTTCCTGCTTCATACCTTCAAGCACTATGATTGCTGCAGTTTTAACCCTCCCACTTTCTATTACATTTCTTGTCACTATGACAAAATACCTGACAGAAGCAGCTTAAGGGAAGAAGGGTTTGTTTTGTCTCATGGTCTGAGAAGGGACATCATGGAAGGGAAAACATGGTGAAGTTCATGACAGTGGAGGATGGCTGGGACTCTTCACATTTCAGTGGATCAGGAAGCAGGGAGCTCAGAAGGAAGCATGGCCAGGCCATGTAACCCTCAGGGTCTATCCCACCACCACCATGTCCTTCTACTTGACCCCACCTCCTAAAGGTTTCAGAGCCCCACCAATTGGGCACCAAGTATTCAAACACATGAGCTATGGGGGACATTTCACATTGAACTCATCAGCACTCTAGTCTGATCCCTACCTCAAGCATTTGACATGGATATTAAAAAAACAGGAACTTAAACCTGTGAGATGACTCAGCTTGCAAAACCACTTGCTATGTAAGTCTGAAAACCTGAGTTTAGTCCCTGGAACCCACATAAAGGTAGAAGGAGAAAACCAATTCCACAAAGTTGTCCTCTAACCTCAACACACATGATACGGTATGTGTGTATAGCCCCAATAATAATAATAATAGTAATAATAGTAATAATAACAACAACAATAAGAATAATTTTTAAAAGAAGACAGGAGGAGCTAGAGAGAGGGCTCAGCTGTCAAGAGCACTGACTGTTCTTGCAGAGGACCCAAGTTCTAATCCCAGTTCCCACATGGCAGCTAATAATCATCCATAATGCCAGTCATTCTCTTCTGACCTCCTCAGGCATTGCATGACACAGGTGCACTTACATACATGCAGGTAATACACTCATACATAGAAAATAAAAATAATAAAATATTTTAAAAAGAAGACATGTGATAGAGTCATGAGATAGAGTGTGTGGATACAGCGTTTGGCAAGTATATGGGAACAGGGTGTGTCTACTTACTTGATTCTCATTGCTTTAGTATTTCAAAAATAAGCTTCCATATTGATTCCCTTTTTTCTGCTTATACAGCAAAGATTCTAGAAATGCAGAGGTTGTGGTTGATGAATGTCACTTAGCAACATTGGGCCCCAAACCTCTGTGCTCATCAGTACTTCCTTTGACTCTAAGTGACCATCAAGAAGACGCAGTGCCAAAGCCATGGATGAGTGGTAATACTTGTTTTCTTTTTATTTTTCTTTTTTTCTTTCTTTTTTTTTTTTTTGGTCTTTTTGAGACAGGGTCTCCCTGTAGCCTCAGCTGTCCTGGAACTCACTATGTAGACCAGGCTGGCCTTGAACTCACAGAGATCCACCTGCCTCTGCCTCCCGAGTGCTGGGACTACAGGTGTGTGCCACCACGCCTGGCAGTACTTGTTTTCTTAATAAGATCCTATTAGCTTTTAAGTGATACTGAAAGTACACAGGAGGCACTTCCACTGAAACAAAAAGCATACAGGGGGAGATAGAAACCAGTGTGGAATATGTTAAAATGGAAAGATTTATGGACCTTTACTTAGCACTCTTGGTGCTACATTTTCTGAAATATCTGTATTTATATGAAAGTGGCATTATAGGAAATACCTAAAATATTTATTTTAATTGATTATATTTGTATATGTTTAGGATTTGTGTCATTTCCTTATAATTCTCTCAACAAACGAAGCTCTGTTGAAGAATTCGTTTAGAAACTAAACTAAGCAGGCTGAGTGTGGTAGCACACACTTTTTAATCCAGCACTGGGGAGGCAGAAACAGGCAAATCTCTGTGTGTTCAAGGCTAGCCTGGACTACAGAGTGAATTCTAGGCCAGCTGAGGCTATAGGGAGACCCTGTCTCAAAAAGACCGAAAAATAAAGAAACTAAAATTGCTTTGTACGGTGCACAACTTGCACACTCTTAGTACCCACTTCATGCTACTTGGTATTGTGTGCTGTCAACAGTGTTCATGTGTTTTTATTTCAAAAGCCTTCTAGTTTTCACAATGAAAATTAATGCAGAAGCATGCAGCATATCTTAAGCTTGTTCCAGATGTATCTGGATGCTACAGAGTTAAAATGAAAGAGAAAGAAAGAAGAAAGAAAGAAAGAAAGAAAGAAAGAAAGAAAGACACTCTAGAAGCAAGGCAGGATGCTTTCTGAGTTTGAAGTCAGCTTTGTGTACATAGTGTATTCTGGGAGAGCTGGGGCTATGGGGAGTCTTGAGAAGAAGGAGGAGGAGGAGGAGGAGGAGGAGAAGAAGAAGGAGAAGAGGAAGAGGAAAGGGAGGGGGAGGGGGAGGAGGAGGAGAAGGAAATCAAACAAACAATTAAAATAAAAATACTTGGGCTGAGGAGATGGCTTAGTGGGTAAAGTGTTTGCTTCACAAACATGAGGACCTGAGTTTAGATCCCCAACACCTACATAAAAGCCAGGTGAGATGGTATACATGTGTGCCCTAATGCTAGGGGAGGCAAGGAACAAGCAAGTCCCAAAGGCTCAGTGGCCAGCCACCCCCGCCCCAGCTCCAAGGGTGAGCTCCAGGTTCAGTGAGATACTCAAAAAAATGGAGTGGAGAACAATAGAAGAAAACAGACGTTGACCTCTGGCTTCCTTATGCACACACACACAAGCAAGTGCACTTGAATACACAAGTGCACACACATACTACCCTCACAAAATAAGTAAATAAATTTATCTTTAGAAAAGAATGTTTTAGGGGCTGGAGCGATTGCTCAGTGGTTAAGAGCACTAGATGCTCTTGCAGAAGATCCAGGTTCAATTCCCAGCACCCACATAGCAGCTAACAACCATCTGTAACTCCAGTTCGAGGGACTCCAGTGCCTTCTTCTGTCATGTATGCATTGCACAACACAGGTACACTTATATACATGCAGACAAAAAACTCATACACATAAAATAAAAATAAATTTTAAAAAATTTTAAGAATGTTTTTAAATGTCCTAGTTCTTGTTTTTAAAAGACACCATTAAAAAATACAGTGTCTAGACTGCTATAACAAAGTATCACAGATGAGATAGCTCAGTAGTAGAGATTGTTCTCATGCTTCTGGAGTCTGGTCAAGGTTCTGTCAGACTGGGTTTGTGGCGAAGTCTGTTTACAGCTTAGAAGGCCACCTTCTTACTAAGTTCACCTATCTCTTTCTCATGTGCTGAGGAGAGTGGGCTCTTTGTGTCTGTGTTATAAGGTTCCCCCACCTCAAGACTTCTGCAGGTTAGTCACATGAGGGTTAGGACTTCAGGATACGTTCGTCAAGGACCCACCCAAGTCTGTAGTGTAGGGTTTGTCAGTATCCTTCCTCTGTGTGCAGTGCCTAACCTGGCTAGGGCTCAGGGCTGCTGTGTAAGACTTTTAAGAAAGTTATCTGCAATTCATAGTGCACTTTAAAATTTAAATTCAGATATAAAAGTGCTCCAGGGTACCAAGATAAAAATCATTCAGTATTTCACATTAAAACCTATATGGCAACACAGTCTAAGTTGAATAAGAACATGCCAGAGCAAGGACAGTGAGATGACTCAGTGGGTAAAGGGCCTGCTGCAAAGCCTGACAACCTGAGTTCATCCCTGAGACCCATATGGTGGGAGAGAACTGACTCCCCCAAAGTTGTCCTTTGACCTTCACACATATACCATGGCAACTGTACTATCTGTACTATCACATACAAACAAAAAAACCAAACAAACAAACAAACAAATAAATAAATAAATAAATAAATAAATAAATAAAT